TGTGTATACACACACACACACACACACACAATATATATATATATATATATATATATATATATATATATAGAAAATATATTAATTAATTGAAAATATTTAACTATACATTAACCTTCACCTTGAATGTCATCTTTCTACTTCCCCTTCCTCGTGACTTTTGCCTTGACATTAACATTAACCTTCATTTTTCTCTCAACATTCATATTTTCCTTTGTCTACATTGCCTTTGCATACGTTGTAATCTTTATTGTCACATTTTATTTTGCTAAACTTGATTAATAAGTGTATTGATTGATAAGATGTTTGTGTCTACAACTTTCATAGATTCTTTAGGTTTTTAATATCCTTTTAAATCTTTTTTTGCCATCTAGATCTTCTTTTATATCGTTATCCATCTCCCTTCTCAATTATTTTAGTCATGTAGAACTTCTTTTTTACTAGGTTGTAATATTTTTTCACATTATATCTCAAGACACGCCTTGTCCATTAAATTAATAGATTAATACTAAAACAACTATAACATAACTCATAAGTTTTCCTAGAGTAACATTCATCGGAAGGGATTTCTCTTGTAAATGATATGAAGCAATTGCATGCTTACATGATATTCCTATCAATTTCCATAAATTACATGTGGTTTCTTTTTGCTAAACCTACAACAAACCTTTTAATCAATTGTACGGTAATTCAAACTTTTGATTCCTTGCTCATATATCAAACTAATTTCCGTTATGCAATACCTTATGATTTATAATTTAATTTTTGTGGTTTATCATTACTTTATGTTTGTATTTATATATTTTTGGCAACGATACTAATTATTGTAAGTAGCAAATAAACAGAAATTCTAGTGTTGTATCCTGGAAATTTGTCCAACAATTAATTAATCTAATTTAATACTAATTAAAAATTAAAAGGTTTAGATTTAAAATTCATAAACCAAAGATAATTTTTAAGGTTTTAGTTTATAAAAGTAAATTAAAAATAGATTGTAATTTAATAATAGAGAAGGCTAGGAATTAATTTCACTAACCTTCTTCACATATATCTTTTTGGTTCACAGGTATTTTTTAGTTATTCAATTTCAATAATTAATTTTTTAATCTTATGATCGATATGAATATTTTAACCTTAATTTTTTAAGTGAGAAATTATAAGTTCTTTAATTAAAATTTCAATTCATTTGTAAAATTATCTATATTAAGATCAAAAGTTTAAAACATTGATTAATAATTTTTATTTTATTCTTAATAATAAATATTATTATTTTTATTTTTTAAACACCATAATTTTAATTTTTTTTTCCAAATTTATATAATTGCATAGGATTACGTAATATGTGGATGATGAAGTCAAAACAAATATTAAATATGGAAGTCAATAATTAACTACATAAATATTTTATTAAATAATGTAAGAGAATTATATGAAGTTAAACTACGTTAATTTCCAAATAAAGTATTTTGTCATTAATGACTAATCTAACTGATTTCCTTCTTACATATCTATTTCTGATTTTCAATTTTTTTTTTATCGAAACAAACTTGCTTAAGAATTTATTTAAATGTAGGATAAAAAAAAACTTGTCTGATTTTACTTTTTTATGACATGTTTTATAGAGAAAAAATAATTAAAAGTTACTGTCCGTTGGGACGATAACCCATTAACCCATTAACCCACCCCATCCTGGGCAGGTTAACCATCATCACTGTGACGCCTTTTGACTAGCGACGCCAACGGCAAACAGAGAAAGGACCAAACGCAACAACCACGATAAATCGCGAAAATATGACGACAAACACATTACTACGAAACTCGTTGTTTATTTAATGATCAAACCGTTAGCAACGTCATACAAAAATAAACCAAAAAATTGAATATCACAAAACCACCCGTTAGACGACCGTTCCCAAACAACTCTTCTTTACTCACTTCCCTTCGAACCAAACCAAACTAGACCAAATAAATGCCCCCAAACACCGTACTCAATGAACTCACTTTGTTTGTTTTCAAACTTGTTCTATGTTGTCTGAACAAAATTTAAATTCATTTTCTTTATTATTTTATTTACCTTTTCGTTAAAAGGATCCAAGAAGAGAAGAGAAGAGAAGACCGTTCATCGTTAACCGTGCCATTCCTTATTTTCACTTCCGTTCCATGCTCCCCCTCCCTCCTCTATCTATCTAGTATCTACACACAGACAACGACGTCGTCTTTCTCATGTTTATAAACTCTTATCAGATTCAACCCTAAGCTCTTAAAACAACTAAATAAATAAATAACTTCTAATGGTTGCCGGCAAGGTAAGAGTGGCAATGGGCTTTCAGAAGTCACCGGCGCCGCAAACTCCTCCGCCGCAGAAGAAGCACGCTCCTCCGTCGCCGTCCACGGCCAAGTCCTCGTCTCACAAGTCCTCATTCTCTCGCTCCTTCGGCGCCTACTTCCCGCGCTCCTCCGCTCAGGTGCAGCCGCGCCCGCCGGACGTCGCGGAGCTCCTCCGCCTCGTGGAGGAGCTCCGGGAGAGCGAGTCGCGCCTGAAGACGGAGCTGCTCGAGCACAAGCTGCTGAAGGAGTCCATCGCCATTGTGCCGGTTCTGGAGAACGAGATCAGCGCGAGGGAGAGCGAAATCGAGAGGAGCAGAAGAAGAGCGGAAGAAGCCGAAGCGGAGAACGAGAGGTTGAGAAAGGAGTTGCAGGAGCTGAAGGTTAGAGCGGAAGAAGAGAAGAGAGAGAGCGAGGGGAAAATAAAGGCGCTCGAGGATGAGGTGGCGGAGCTGAAGAGAACGGCGTCGTATAGCGGTGGCGCCAGTAACATAACAGAGGCGTTGGAGAGTCACGTGCTCGAGCACGAGCACGAGCACGTGCACGAGCATGAAGCTTCGCAGAGGTTGTTGGAGGTTTCGCTTTCGGCCAGGTCGAATCTCATCAAAAGCTTGAAGAAAACGGCGTCGGATCTTGGAAGCGGGATTTTCAAAAGAGAGGTTGCAGATACCGAAAGGCCACGTCACTCGCGGTGTAACTCGGAGGAACTCGTCGATTGCTCCGACTCGGTTCTCTCCGCTTCCGTCAGGTCACGCGCGCCTCGTGTGCCGAATCCGCCGCCGAGACCTTCGTCTTCCTCGCCGTCGTCGCCGTCGAGTGATTCTTCCAACGCCAGCAAAATCCCGCCGCCGCCGCCTCCTCCTCCGATGAAGGCATTGCCGCCTCCGCCTCCTCCACCTCCGAAGAAGCCTGCGTCGAAGGCGGCAGCGGCGACGGCTCCTCCTCTGCCGCCTCCGCCTCCGCCTCCGGCGAAGGCGGGAAGAGTGGCTCCGGCGAAGGTGAGGAGAATCCCCGAGGTAGTGGAGTTTTACCACTCGTTAATGCGGCGGGATTCGCATCCGCGGCGGGACGGCGGCGCGGCGGCGGAGGTGCCGGTGCCGGCGACGGCGAATGCTCGCGACATGATTGGCGAGATCGAGAACCGTTCGACTCACTTGTTGGCGGTAAGTGCACGTGAATTTTGCCCTTTAATTACGGTTCTGCCACGCGTCATTTATGTCAGTTTCTGCTGCTTTATTTTGAATTGGATTTCTTGGTAGATAAGACAGTAATACTATTCGAATTTGGCATGCCCAAAATCGTAAATATGCTCCAAAATTATGGCATTTTGTGGAGCTACCAGGTCAAACAAGGAAAATAAGACTCTCCAATTACTGAAACCTAGTGTCACTAGTAGTCAATTAAGTCAAAGAAATTAGTTGATTTTAGGTGATTAGTACTCCATTGCTGATCTGAGCTTAATAATAGTAGCTTTAATTAAGGAATTTTTTAACCCAATATCTGATTCTGTCTGGTCAATGATATTGTTTTTGTTTTTACAGATAAAAACAGATGTAGAAACACAAGGAGAGTTTATTAGATACTTGATCAAAGAGGTGGAGAGCGCAGCATTCACGGACATTGAAGACGTGGTACCTTTTGTCAAATGGCTCGACGACGAACTCTCCTATTTGGTACTTTTTTACTATAATGTTTCTTCTTCCATTTGCATAGAGATTATGAAAAGGTATTTTATATTATTTATATGATTTGTCTGCCTTATTGTTTCAGGTGGATGAAAGGGCAGTGCTGAAACACTTCGATTGGCCAGAGCAGAAGGCCGATGCTTTGCGTGAAGCTGCGTTTGGATATTGCGATCTGAAGAAGCTAGAATCTGAGGCTTCGTCTTTCCGTGACGATCCTCGCCAGCTTTGTGGTCCAGCTCTTAAGAAGATGCAGACTCTATTAGAAAAGTGAGGGAATTTGTAAACTGTCCCCACAGGCGTGATTTTCTTATTCGATGTGAATTGAATGCGGATGTGGTTGTGAACACACTCTAATGTTACTTTTTTACTATTTGATTATGACCAGATTAGAACATGGGATTTACAATATCTCAAGAATGAGAGAATCGGCAGCAAAGAGATACAAAGTCTTCCAAATACCTGTGGATTGGATGCTTGATAGTGGTTATGCAACTCAGGTAATTTCCATGCATGGAAGTTCTATAAATAAATAAAAAATCCATGAAAGTTATGTTATGCTTAATGGTACTAGTAGCTGCAAGCACTAGATATAGATTCAGTTATAGGCTTATAGCTTAGTATAATACACATGATGGTCCATAATCTTTAAAATTATTTGAATAATGGGAAAGAGTCTTGTTGGCCTATAATCGTCATTGAATAATGGTGGCTATGGAACTGTTATATGCCCACCTATTAGTCAATATAAAAGGGTAAGTAAATAAATCATTTATGTTGGAATGACCGAACCAAAATATCTGTAATTTTTCTCTTAAAAAATTAGCCTCGTGAAGATTACCACGTAGCATGTCGACAAAGTAACTGATAGTGAAATGTCAAAGCAAGTGGTTATCTTTGCTGATAGGACTTGGGCATCTATTTCTTGGTGCTAATCTGCACAAGCACATGTAAAATCCACATCTCCACGGTCTATCTTTTTGTCTGCTTCATCTTTTTAGAGGAATTCTCTTTGCGCATCAGGAACATGGAAGGGTACTTCATTCTTTATGTTTTAAATAATTATTATAAGAAATGCAAAATAAAAGACCCTATATGATATAGTTACCACCTATCTACGAATAAATATCACATACATGTGCAATTTGCATTCAGGAAAGCATAAAGCATTTACTGCTTAGTAGACTGCTATTACCAACTTTTATAACAAAGGGAAGAATGTAGGTAGCTCACTTAATTTATTGTTGCAGATCAAGCTGGCATCTGTAAAATTGGCTATGAAATATATGAAGAGAGTCTCTGCTGAGCTTGAGACAGGTGGTGGTGGGCCTGAAGAAGAAGAGCTTATAGTTCAAGGAGTGAGATTTGCATTCCGAGTACATCAGGTAAATTATTTTCCAACATGTTTGAACAATAATAGTACAAAATTTTGACGCCTATGGTAACAATGAGCTGTTATGTGTGGCAGTTTGCTGGAGGGTTTGATGTGGATACAATGAGGGCATTTCAAGAATTGAGAGACAAAGCGAGGTCATGCCACGTTCAATGTCACAATCAGCCACAGAAATTATATTGCAGGTCTGCAACATGCTAATGCTGGAGCAAACTCAGCTTCGGAGAATTAGTTAAGCCCTTTTTCTGTATTTTGTGAATAGAATGGCAAATAGTATTAGCCATCGTTAAAGTAGTAGAACGCATTCATAATTCATGATTAATTCTTCCATTCATTACTGGAAAAACAAGAATCCGGTTCCACTCTAGCACTTGTTGCTATTCCGAATTCACTGGAAGTGCACTTCTCTGATCATAAATTAGTTCCTGGGAAACAAGACAGTAATGCAAATTTGTTTCCACTTTGGTACATGCTAAATCGAATTTGTTGAAAAATTCGCTTCTCTAACCAAATTCTGCTATTTATTGTTTTTCTGGTTGCTTATTCCGTTCATATCATTAGCTGAAATGAATTTGTTAACATTTTATTTATTTACTTCTCCGTTCAAGTGCACAGACATGTTTGATTCTAGGCGTTATCGTTTACAAACAGTAAATTTTTTTTATGAAACCCTAAGTTAGAAATTTTAATATGTCAAATACCAAAATTAAATCAACCACTTAACAGATTGAGCCTATTTTAGTTTTCTTGCAAATTTTGTGTAGGACAGTAATTTTTTATGGAGAAGCAAAAAGGGCTTAAGCCGCCAATAAAGTAAAATTACACGAGAAGCAAAGCAACTGAGAACATAGATATTTAAACTCCTTTCTTGGTACCAAAAAGTTGAGCAGCATCGGAAAATGATTGAGTTATTATTATTATTATTATTATTATTATTATTGTTATTATTATTATTATTTTAAGTATATTAACAGGTAATCGATGATTTGTCAGTGTGTATGGACAAGACATTATTAAGAGAGGCATACGGACAAAATTTTATCGGAAGAAACAAAACTCACCTTTGATGATCTCAATGCCTTAGAAAAAAGGTGAATTCTATGAAAGACCACTTTCACAAGTGGTCCATGGGTGCATCATCAATTTTCACTCTTAGATGCATCTAAACTAGTAGACCATAATACACAAGCTACACTGGATCTAAATTTTTGATTTTGAAAAGATATGAGATGTATCGAGAAAAAAAATTGGAGATGCAGGGGATCGAACCCTGTACCTCTCGCATGCAAAGCGAGCGCTCTACCATTTGAGCTACATCCCCATATTATTTTTTAAAGTTAATTATTAAAATCTCTTTTTACTAGATATGCACAATAAAAGACAAATGCGAATTTGTACATGAAGCTAGGACCTTGTACCCCATTCCAAGTCTAACTCAAGAGCTTACATTTATTTATTCTATTTCCGTAGCTTAAAATATTTGTTTCAGCCATTTCTGGATCTCATTCGGCTTTTTATACACAAGCTCCAGTTTTGTGCTTCTCATCAAGTTTTACTCTAAACGTTGTTGTAGAAGAAAAGATTACAAGTTGAACTAGATGAAACGAATAAAAAAAATAGAATGAAAACATGTTAGACAATTAGTTCTTCATATAAAAAGTTTCATGTTTATGATATCATAGCCTTACATTCAACGGTCCATTTGTTTATTTGGTATGAGTTTAATTTTTCAATTTGATAGTACACTGTGGTCTCACTATAGTGCAAATTTTTTTTGATCAAACAGTATTTGATGCTAAATAGGAGTTTGCGGTGTTCCAATAGACTGTAGTTGTATAATACGTGCATCAGTACTTCTGCACTTGATACAGGTAGGATAAGGATATAAATGTCACCAATTTTGACTTATAACATATATTATAGGCCAATCTCCGATCTAAACTGGAACCTTCCAGGTATCAGTTATTTCTTAAGCAACAAATTGCTGCATTACTTAATGTGAATGATGTCAAAGCATGCCTTTGGCCGCATCAGAAAACTAAAAGAAATGCAAGCAGTATTCAATAATTTTTTTTTCTTGATAATTTAAATGTGAGGAACATATGAAGTGATCGTTCTAAGATCATGATCTCATAGATGCATGCTACATTAGTTATAGCATTACATAAGGATATATAGGCAGCACAGCATGGTAATACATAAAAGGAATGAAAAAGAAGTACTAGCTTGATTATGATGATATTTTAGGTAATGAATTAATGTTCTCACCCTTGACACATGCATAGATTGTAATTAATTAATTAGCTATAGGATAAGAGGCATGGAGGTTAACGCCACAAAGACCTTGACGGGAACCAGTGTCCCTCTTAAGCTTCATGTAACCACCCTCGCCCCATTGAGAGCCCCATGAATTCCTCAACAACCAGTACTTGCCATCTGTGTCCTCACCATACCCAATTGCAGTAACTGCATGGTTAAGGATAGTTCCACACTCGCCATGGAAAACTCCTTCAGAGTAAAACTGAAATGCTTGTCCCGAACCATCAAGGAGTACTGAGACAGGTTGGTTGGCCACTGCCTTCAGAAGCTCCTCCTCGCTCTCTTTAGGTACTCTTTGGTAACCAATAATATTCTGGATTTCAGGTTTCAACATAGCACAAGTCCCTTCTTTTCCCTTGTAAGGGTATTCTGCTTCATTTGCAAGACCATACCTTTCTATATACTCATAGGCTGTCTCTACGAACTCTCCATTGCAACCGTCATCGCTGGCACAATCCACCAATTGTTGCTCAGACAATGAAACCAACTTCCCTTTCTTGATTTTGATAATCCCTTCAACAGTTGCCACAGCTGAAAATGCCCAGCAACTCCCTGCACGCACGTACCCCAAATATTACTATGAATCTCATTGAAAATAAGTCTAAAAGTGTTTTTAGAAGCTTCTCTACTAGAAACAATATTTTATTTTCAATGGAGAAAAATACTTCTAACTTGCATCTAGATAGACTTTATAATATCTATATCATAATGTTAATGCATATAAACACTAACATTACACATTTTTTTGTAAGTCAATATATGGTTTTCTTCCAAAGTGAATTGAAATTTGAACGGCATGCATGCATGCATGGTTATTCATTCCATATATAATATATTTGTTCGACACATACAACAACTTACCACATTTGCCTTGGTTCTTAATTTTATTAACAGCTCCTTTGGTTCTCCAATCCAAGCTTGGCTCAATGTCACTGACACTGATGTTGTGGTAGCCAAGATTGTGGTTAATCTTGGACGACCCTGGTGGCTTAAAGAGAGCTCCTGTGTGAGACGCGACGAATTCTTCGTTAGTCAAATCAGCAAAAATGTTTAGGCTTAAATTGTACCTATTGTTTCCATCGTTGTTGTGTTTCTCTATGAACTCCAAGTTGTCCTTGAATATCTGTTGGCGTTGTAGGGAAACTAAATAATTTTTTTTCAAAAAGTTTTGTGACGAGTTGATGTATTAAACCTATAATGAATTAATGATAGAATTGAATTTTCTTTTTATTAAAAATCAACATTTTTTTTATAATAATAATAATATTAAAAAAAGAGTAAGAGTTCCAATATTCAAATTATAACCTATTTTGGTAATTGTAAAATGTCTCACATCTAGGAATCAAGATAATGATAGTTTATAAATATCATCCACAATCCATTTGAGACATCTTTTAAAAATAAAATCATGACAATCTATTAAGTGTTAAAATGAATAATACTTTAGATGTAGTGATCCTAATGATATAAAGTAATTAAAATTAGAAAATTGACACTAAAATAAAACTGGAATCACTCTTATTCATTAGTCTCGATTATGGTACTTATTTTTAGTACATAAAAAAATCTTACATTATTTAAAGAGTTAATCACCTATATACTGTCAGTGTAAAAAAAATTTACACCGACAACCAATTATATCTTTTAATTGTGTCATGTCACTGTAAACACATTTACTTTTAACAGTGACATGACACAACTAAAAGATATAATTAGTTGTCAGTGTAAAAAAATTTTACACTAGTAGTGTATAGGTGATTAACTTACTTAAAACTCAAAACTAAAAGTAGCTTATAAACTTTATCTTCAACCTATTAAGACATCTTTTAAGAACAAAATTGTAATAATACATTGAATATTAAAATAAACAATATTTTGAGTACGATAACCTGAATAATGCAAAGAACTTGAATGTAGAAAATAGACAAATCCCTTCATTCAAGCATTAAAACCCAGGACCAATCCAAAGTCAATTGGTTAATTGGTGTAAGGTGCATTCCCTAAACTCTAACTCTCTGCCCTTCATACATGGCATGATCTTATGCTGATCTATTATTATCCTTTGCTTCATTATACATTTTTCCTTCTAGACATATCAATAGAAGAACGAAAGGATATGAGATGTATCGAGAAAAAAAATTGGAGATGCAGGGGATCGAACCCTGTACCTCTCGCATGCAAAGCGAGCGCTCTACCATTTGAGCTACATCCCCATATTATTTTTTAAAGTTAATTATTAAAATCTCTTTTTACTAGATATGCACAATAAAAGACAAATGCGAATTTGTACATGAAGCTAGGACCTTGTACCCCATTCCAAGTCTAACTCAAGAGCTTACATTTATTTATTCTATTTCCGTAGCTTAAAATATTTGTTTCAGCCATTTCTGGATCTCATTCGGCTTTTTATACACAAGCTCCAGTTTTGTGCTTCTCATCAAGTTTTACTCTAAACGTTGTTGTAGAAGAAAAGATTACAAGTTGAACTAGATGAAACGAATAAAAAAAATAGAATGAAAACATGTTAGACAATTAGTTCTTCATATAAAAAGTTTCATGTTTATGATATCATAGCCTTACATTCAACGGTCCATTTGTTTATTTGGTATGAGTTTAATTTTTCAATTTGATAGTACACTGTGGTCTCACTATAGTGCAAATTTTTTTTGATCAAACAGTATTTGATGCTAAATAGGAGTTTGCGGTGTTCCAATAGACTGTAGTTGTATAATACGTGCATCAGTACTTCTGCACTTGATACAGGTAGGATAAGGATATAAATGTCACCAATTTTGACTTATAACATATATTATAGGCCAATCTCCGATCTAAACTGGAACCTTCCAGGTATCAGTTATTTCTTAAGCAACAAATTGCTGCATTACTTAATGTGAATGATGTCAAAGCATGCCTTTGGCCGCATCAGAAAACTAAAAGAAATGCAAGCAGTATTCAATAATTTTTTTTTCTTGATAATTTAAATGTGAGGAACATATGAAGTGATCGTTCTAAGATCATGATCTCATAGATGCATGCTACATTAGTTATAGCATTACATAAGGATATATAGGCAGCACAGCATGGTAATACATAAAAGGAATGAAAAAGAAGTACTAGCTTGATTATGATGATATTTTAGGTAATGAATTAATGTTCTCACCCTTGACACATGCATAGATTGTAATTAATTAATTAGCTATAGGATAAGAGGCATGGAGGTTAACGCCACAAAGACCTTGACGGGAACCAGTGTCCCTCTTAAGCTTCATGTAACCACCCTCGCCCCATTGAGAGCCCCATGAATTCCTCAACAACCAGTACTTGCCATCTGTGTCCTCACCATACCCAATGGACCACTTGTCCAACTTCTCCATCATAGACATCACCTAGAAAAAAAGTTAATCTTTGAGTATCAAAATTGTTCTTTCTTATATTAAATTGCACTATTAATCAGAATTTTGTCCTATTTTATTTTTTTAATCACTTTCTAAATATAATTTAACTTAAATATTAGTAAATATTAAAATGTACTTTTTAATTTCATGTCATGATCAATATGGTCAATAAATAAATATCTAACAATTGAATAAAGACTATGCATTTTAAAATATTAGATAATTAAAATTGAGATATCAAAATCTTTAATCGAATATATAGGAAGCTCAAAATTCCTATAATTTTGTAAAGGAAATTTAACTATGAGAAGAGCATTTATGTATTTGGTGATTTTGGTTTGAGAAACAGAAAATTGCACTTCATACATAATATGATAGAACTTATTAAAGAGAGATAATGTATTCAAAAGAATGAGTTAAAATTCATGAAAATATTATATCTTATTGTTTATTACTACAGGTACTATGATAAAGCTTATGAAAATAAAGAAACTAAACAAAAGAAAAAACAGTACATATAAAAACGAAAATAAAATATTTTTAATTATAGAAATCAAAAAGTAAAATTTATGTAATTACATGAGAAAAAAATAATAAAAGTTGAATATTTTTACATTGTGAATTAATGAAATAAATTAAATATGACTATTATAAAATAAAACAAAGTTTAAGATAAATGAACTTGGGAATAGGGTGAGTAGTGAGTGAATTACCCCATTTGAGGCTGAGGCTGTAAGAAAGAGGCTTAAAGGAGAAATGATCGAATGTTGTAATTCACTTCTAAATCTTCCGTTTCCATCGTTTCCCATCACTGATCTTGGTGCAAGCAGTTTCCCTCAACGTTTCCGCAAAACCCTTTCTTTTTCACATCGTTCATCCAAGTTCCAACGTTGTGGAATTTCCCGAGCCATGGAAGCGGTTGAAGGAAGTGAAGGGAGCAGAGGGTCAACCCCTGCAATGAAGCTCTTGTTCGTGGAGATGGGTGTTGGCTACGATCAACATGGGTCAGTCTTATATTCCTTATGTCTTTGTCCCTTTTTCTCTTTCTTTGCTAACGCTCCAACACAGGCAGGACATAACGGTCGCAGCAATGAGGGCGTGCAGGGATGCCATTTCTTCTAATTCAATCCCTGCTTTCCGCAGAGGTATATCTAATCTTTTGTTTTTTTTTTCATTCTTTAACTTGAATTCTGACGTGCCCACCTGTGTTGAGCTTGGCACTATTGCAAATTGAAGCAATTAGGCTGAGTTCATTAGTGATGTTGTTCTTGGAATGTCTCACATAGCATGCTTCAATTCTTGTGTGCAACTTATATGTATGAAGGGAAACTTAAAGCCAAGCCAGTTGGTTTTAAGATGGAATTTAACTTGTCATTAGAGTCTATAGGCCATGTTGGTAAATCGCCTATTGTGGTAGACTATCATCCTGTTCTGGTAGGCATCTTAGGAGGGAATGTTGGAAGGTCCCACATCGTCTGCCTCAATTTTTATGGTCCAACTGATGGACAACTTCACTAAAAACTAATTGGTTTTAAGATAGAATCTAACACTTGTTACTGAAGGAAATTGGTTTAGTTTTAGGTTGAGAGATATTCTTGGAATAGGTAGGAAAGAAAGAAGCAAATCAAAATTAGAGCTTGGATGATAGAACTTATGCTTAAGGCCCTTAATTGTGCATTTCTTCAATTATGCTAGTCCCCGTGTCAGGAGACTAATTTGACTGATGAAATACACATTCATGAACTAATTTCACAATTAGAGGCATATTTTGGGACAATATATGTAATTTCCATCATCCAAGGATTAATATGACCAATGCTGTACTTTTTTTAGGACTAATTTGACTATTTACTCTTCTAGAGTTTTGTAGAATAGGCTCACTAGGGTCAAACAAAGTGAACTTGGAATAAATTCTTATTGTTCTTAATGGTAAAACCGTTTCTTATTAGTAATAAAGTTGATGTGTCGTGAATATGTCTTGTATTTCATGATTATGTATGTGTCTTGTGAGAGTTGCAACACATTCTAGTCGAGTCATCTAAATTTCTTTCATTTGAAGATGTTATTATACTTCCTCACCGTCAAATTACTTTGTCTAGAGAATTTCTGTTGAATGCAATTTTTCTAACATAATGGCCTACAAAAACATTTACATGATATGCTTACTTTATTATCTACATTCTACACTGTGTGGCTACCTTTCTCTGTTTTCTGGATTTTTTTCCCGGTGTGCTTGCAAAGGTCTTTACAAGTATTTATTTTCCTAGTGCTTGCAAAGGTCTTTACAAGTATTAACACAAGTAATTTATTGCCTTGTGATATATGTTGGGTAAAATATGAAGGAATGGAAGAATCACTTCCATGATTTTTTTTCCAGGCAGGAAAGTGAAAGGAATCATGGCATGGCATGTCTAATTTAGCCAATGCTAGCATAAAATCTGACATGTAGAAAGATCAAAGATAGTACATTTTATGATATCTAGGCAGAGATCTCTCTTTTCCCTTGTTTTCACTATGCTCGATTCTGTGGTGCTAACTGCTAAGGGCTAAATCTAACGTATTATAAATTCTCCTCTATATGTGCTTGTCCCAGTTTACTTTTTTTGTTTAAGTAGTCATATTTTTTAATTGCTAAAAGTTCAAGATGGAAAGATTGCCAGAGGGAAAAATAATAATAATTTCATAGTTTGCTCCAAACTATTGTAATATTCTTGCTGAATTTAACTCTGATGTCTGCATAAAAGAATTTCTAGCTGTAACTTCTATAGTGGATTCTATTTTTAATGCTTAGAAATCATTGCTCTTGGGAGAAGTTATCAGTCAAGTACTAAGTTTGACTTGATCTCCATCCTACTTATTCAAGATAAGCTCTAGTTTAGGAAAATATCTTGCTGTCGGATGTTCATATGACTAAATTTCCCCACTTATTTTCAATCTACACGATGATTTTTCTGTATGGCTGTTTGTTGTTGATTTAATTTCTTAAAAAAGGTATGCTCGGATAGTTGACATTTTCAAATTTGTTTATTGAATTCTAATAAGATGAATTTGGTTTAGGTTCCATTCCTGGTGTCAGTTTTGAACAGATGAAATTGCAGATCAAGCTAGGAGTTCCTCATTCCCTCCAGAACACTTTGGATATTGAGAAAGTCAAGTCAGTATTCCCGTAGTAAGTACCCACAACCATGGAAAGTAGTGCATTGCTTTTTTCTTTCAATATGTGTGATGATATGGCTATCGATACGAAATCCTATATTATCAACGATTTTTTCTCGGAAAATTAACTCATGTTTCAGTCTTTTATCTTCCCGTAATGTCTGGTTATTGGGCTTTCTTATTTTTTGGTGTACTCTAGTTATTGGATGTTAACACCTAACATTTCGAACAGAAACCCAAGTCATTCTTTATCTCCTTGTTTATATTCTGTATTGAATTATCTAGGCTTTGGTTCATTTTTTAAGTAGTTGGTAACCTGCCAATCTGCCATGCTTGTTTATTCATTTCATGTGGTATTTGTTTCTTACAACATAACATCTGCCATATCAATTCTTTATAATAATGTTTTTAACTTTTCTTACCTGCTCCTTTGACCTCGCTTTACAAAAAATAACATTGCAGTGGAAAAATTTTGAATGTTGAAGTTGTGGACGGTGGTTTGATATGCTCAAGTGGTGTGCTTGTAGAAGAGATGGGTGACAAGAATGATGATTGTTACATTGTGAATGCTGCTGTTTATGTGGGCTATTAACTTTCAGCTTCTGCAATGCTTTGTTGAGTTTGTTCTCTTGTTAATGGACTCCTGATTTTAATAAGTAATGGTATCTTCCGTATAATAACATAACATTGTACATTTCTGATTTTCTCTATATTCTGTGTCACAATTCTTTCTTGGTTATTTTGGGGTTTCGTCGAAAGCTTCCATGAAAGCACTACTATATACCTACTTATATTGGATATAGTTATATAAAAAAGTTGTTCAACTTTAAACATGTAATTGATTATCAGAAGTTGAAATTTGAATACTTTTTATGTTTTAATACTCTTGATTTTCTCCTAAATAAATGTTATCCCTCAAGTTTTAAGTTACTGTTTAATGAAAATTTGTAAAAAGTAAGGTTTAGCTCAGTTGATAGATAATTGTGATTTTTATGCAAACTGACATAGGGTTTGATTCTTGATGCTGATGGGGAAAATTTTGTCTAGTGGAACATAATTCACTTCGGTGATCTCTTAACTTTTTAAGCTTTTGGCAGACATGTTAGAGCAAGACAAATTGTAATAGACGAGTTCTATTTTATATATTTAAAAATAAAAAAAAGCATGAGATTAAAATAATGAAATATTTTAAAGATTTGTTAAATAGGTTAAAATGTGTGGAACATACTACTCTCTATTTTTAATTAAGTGTCAGTTTTAGTTTGAATTGAAGTTACTAAAGAGGTTATTAATTTTCCTAATCTTAAGCGAATTTGTTAATACATTTTTTATTTTACCCTTTTTAAATGATTTGTTTGCATAAAATTCTCTTAATTAATTGTTATCAATTTCTTTTCTCACGTTTAAAGTTTTTAATTTCTTCTCCCTTTCTCTTAATTAGTTAAATAATTGTTATTTACCTTTCACTTAAATATACATAAAAAAATTAGGATATTAGTTAGAGTAGACTGTCGACTATTGGTTGGAAAAATATAAGTTTTTATAAAATAATTAAATAGTCTAGGGGCATAATTGAAAGAAAAAAAAATTCATATTACCTTGAAATCTAAAAATGATAGATAGAAGGGGGAAAAAATTCAAAAATGCGACAAAAAGAAAAAATAATTATGTTACCTTGAAAGCTAAAATGATAGATAAAAGGGGGGAAAATTCAAAAATGCAACAAGAAGCGGAGGGAGTATGTAAGTTTCAAAAATTGTATTTGTATAGTTTTTTTTTTTTTTTTTTTAAATTAATGGGTTTAATGATGATGTACATGCTAGAGTAACATTTTATATTGTTAATCAATAAAAAATTTTATTATGTTTAATTGTGTTTTTAATCATTCTAGTATTATAATTGTATGATTTTGATCTTTAAGATTTTAATTGAGTAATTTTAGTTTATTAAATATAATAATTGTGCAATTTTAGTCTGCCAAAATTTAATTAAGTAATTCTTTTATCTTTTAAATATTGTAATTGTATGATTTTAGTTCTTCAAATATTATAATAATAAATTTTTGACTCATTTAAGTTACATATATTATAATTTTTATTTATATATTAAATAATATATTTATTATTACTAATATATATAACTTAAATATGTAAAAAAAATGTATAATTATGATATTTTAAGGATTAAAACCACCTAATTGAAGTATTTAAAGAACTAAAATTCTCAATTAGAAAATAGATGACCTAATATTGTACAATTATGATACTTAATATACTAAAATTACTCAAACAAAATTTAAGGAGTTAAAAATGCATTATTTTTACAGAATATAACTTTTATGATATTTATTGTAATGAGATAATTATGTAAAATTGTTACATCATACTTATTATCTTGTCTCACTTTATTATGTATAAATTAAAAAATTCATGTTAATAAGACTACAACATGACATGTGGTCTCGATATGGAGGTTGCCACTATAACAACTTTCACATCGATACCACATGATGCAACCAATTTTTGAGGAAAAAAAAATCATAAAAAATTTAACTACATGACAAGGGTGTCATTTAGTTGACTAACAATATTTGACCACTTTAAAGTTAGAAATTGATTCAAAATAATCTCAACTTTAATAATAAGTTTTAAAAACTATCTTACATTGGTCAAAAAAAACTAATAGAAGTTACATGTAACTAGAGGATGAGTGATTTAAAGATAATTATAGGTATAAAATAATACAAGAAAAGGGATATCTCACCTAGTATGTAGAAATTAAATATAGAAAAAATAAACATAAAGTGATGTATTTATTTTTATTTTAAATCTGAAAGGCTTAAATATATTTTTAATTTGTGTGAAATGAGTTAGTTTTAATTTTGGTACTCATAATTTTTTTGTTCATTTTTCATCTCTTTAAAATTAAAATTTATTATTTTAGTCTTTACCATTATCTGACACTTGCTAATTATTCATATGTTGTTTGGGTATGCATGGTATTGATACAAGGTATCCACCATCGAAAACGATGACTAATATCTACCGGGAACCATGAGCACATACAAGTGGACAATCCTTATTTATTATGTCATGGTAAAACTCATTTATCTCGACTAATCATTACAAAATTTGTTAAACTCACTATAATAAAATTGTCATACAGTGACTCACACCTTATAGTTACACTATATATGTCACTAAAAATTACTTTTACCCACACAATAACTACGACATATGTTGGTATATTATTAAAAAGTGTGAGTATAAACTATAGTGACATACAAAATATATTATTAAATTCCATTCAAAATCAACACTAAAATTGTGTGTAACTATATGTCAAATAGACATATACCTACATATATTGTAGCTATAATGACACTTTTTATATGTCACTCTTGTAGTAACTCTAATTAAAATAAAATTAAAAATTAGTATATACTTATTAATATATATATATATATATATATAATATATATATATATATATATATATTTTATCAATCCGTATGATATTTTTTCTCATTTCTTTTGTATTTCTTATTTTTATTTGAAATAAAAGAGATTGTAAATTTAAATAGATGGATGCCATGAACATTCCAACACCTTTTTTTCTCTTCAGTAATTCAAGCTACTTTCCTTGGAATTAGCTAGAATTTAGATATTGTCAACAATATTGTGATCTTTAGTGTTCGAAGATTATCATCCTTAGTGTAGGAAGAACCATACATAGTAGAAAGACCTATAATAGTCACTTTTTTTTCCTTCCTCCCATGAATCATGCATATCCATTTATTTTTATGTTTTCACTAGTCGTATAAAGTTAAAGAATAATATATTATAGAAAAATGTATATAAATAATACTTTTTTCCTACCATCTAGATAGTCTAATGGCTATAACTCAAATAGGTTATAACAAAAATGTATAATATAATTATAAGAGTGGTTTTATATCATTTGTTCTAAATTTTATTTTCTTTTATTTACTTTTTTTTAATTAAGCACTCATTTGAATCAAAAAGATGGATTAAATAAACAAATAAATAAGTTTACTTAAGAATGTTATATTATTCTCCTTCTAACATAATCTATTTTATACCTAATGTCAGGAGTCAAACCTTGAACGGTTTGATTAAAGAATACAAGCTACTATCATTTGAGACAATCAATATTAGTATTCATATGTTATAAAATATAAAATAACTATCTTAAATGATACTTATTAGTGTCTCTAATATTATACCAATATATACATATCACACCTATACAAAAATTTCAAAATAATTAAAATAAATGTTATTTATTTATGTCTTAATATGATTGATTTAAGACCAAAATTAATCATTTCAAATTTTGGAAGAATAAAAATCAAACAAAAATATTTTATAAGAGTCATTTCTTTTTCTTTTTTATTACAAAGACAAAAGAAAATTATTTTAATTCTAGAGAGATAAAAGATAAATATTTTTTTTTACAAATATTAAAATCAAAACTCCATCATCTTATGAATACTAAAAATACATTTTAAATTAAAATAAAATTAAAGAAAACAAGATAGAATTGTTTCATTATGTTCCATGGGTTCAACAACGCTCATAGTTATTAATACAACAATATTTTATTTTGTAAAAAATTCTCAACCTAAAGCCATCCAACCATTCATCTATTCTTATATTTGACTAGTTTTGGACATCATAATTTGATTAATAGAAAAAAAAGGGTGTTTGAGTTATTAACTTATTATTTAAGTCCAATTTTTTACAACAATATTTAAGTACATTTTAAATTTTTTTATTATAATTAAAATTACATTTTCAATAAAGTGAATAAGCATTCTCATGAGTAAAATTTTGAAAATTTTAAGTAAAATTTAATAGATTACTTTTTTTAACTTTTATTTTCTCATTTTATTCTCAAATCTGATCAATTTAAACATGAAAATAATTATTATAAATACTTTTGTACCATTTTCACCATTTTACTATAAAAATTGATTATTTTATAATTCAAATATAAAATATTATGTCGAAACTATTTTTAACTAATATATCTAAATAATTTTTTTATATAATGAAATATAGTAATAATAAATTATTTATAATGAAATATTTTTATATTTTAAAAATAATTTAATCCTAATACTAATTCGTGAAATTTAACTTAATTTCTTATGATAAATAAACAATTCAATTTAGAAGATAAAATAAAAATATAATTAAAGGCTTAAATATATTTTTAGTCCTTCAAATTTAGAGTAAATCTATTTTTGGTTCCTCGAATTTAAAATTGTTATTTCTAGTCCTGTAATTTCAAAAAATCTTATTTTAGTCCAGCTCCTTTGGTTCTCCAATCCAAGCTTGGCTCAATGTCACTGACACTGATGTTGTGGTAGCCAAGATTGTGGTTAATCTTGGACGACCCTGGTGGCTTAAAGAGAGCTCCTGTGTGAGACGCGACGAATT